CCTGTGTCATAGTCCCTGAATTGAAGTCTGCTTTTGACATTGGGAGGTGCCCTTCTCGTGCTATTCATCAGAATTTCGTTTTCATCACTCATGCACAACTTGACCACATTTTAAGTTCCATGATTTCGCCAAAAGATGATGTTTTCAGCCATGGTTCGAAAATCGTGTACATTATTCAGTTGTTTTGGTTTGTTCAACTTCAAACACTAAGTTCTGGGTATTACTATACTCTCATATGGCGTTTACTGTCTCAGGGTGGGCTTCCAATGTATGTAGCTAGCCGTGGCTTGTACAACTTAAAGCCTCCGACAGTATTTGTACCTCCATGTATTAAAGAAGATGTGGAGACGCTGTTGGATATTCACAGGACAATGGGAAAAGTGGAACTCAACCTTGACCTGGTCCCGCTTGATGTTGGTATCTTGGTTTCATCACAAGTTTCTTTGTGTTTTCATGTTTTGTTTTCCCTTTAAGATGACTTTACTAGGCTTTTTCAGGTGAAACTTATGGACTGCGGAATGACATTGTCGTCCGACCATTTAGAACTCATCATGTTATACCAGGCATGCCTTATCAATATTTCTTCTAAGTATGTTAATTTTATATAGAATAGAAAATATAGACTATGAGTTTTGAGTGGGATGTGCAAGAAAATATGACTAGTTTCTGCCCTTGGTAAATACATTATTGAGGTTGAAACATGGATGCAGATGAAATTTTTGTTTAAGTTATTTAAATTTGGATATTTTACAATCTAAAGTATGAATTTGTGTTTTTCTTTTCTTTTCAGGGTTATGTCATATAATCTGTTAGGAAAAAGCTGAAGAAGCAGTATATTCATCTGAAAGGGAAACAGAATGAGAAATTGAAGAAGTCTGGTGTTGTGGTCTGTAACTTCAGGGAAACAAAGTGGTCAGATTCCTTAGTTTTTTTTTTTTTGGATAAGTTGAATTTTATTTATCCAAGTAAAAGTACATCAAACAACACTCATCCCAAAACAAGGAGTATAAACACCAATATACAACAAAACAAAGTTAGTCTATACTCCAAGAAGTACAAACTCTAGAATTTACATAATCAAGTCTATTAATATTTTTATCTTTAAGTTTGATCCACACATGCTCCTTAATAGACTTGAGAAGATGATCGGCTGGTCTTGTTCCTTTGTTGAAGATTCTTCTGTTTCGTTCTTCCCATATGAAGTAAATAAAGGCTGTCCAAGCAATCCTCAATATGATGGAAAGCAAAGAATTTCCCTTCCATTTATGTGCAGCCCACTCAATTTGAGATTCCCAATTCCTGTGAGCATTTCTTATGCTTGAAAGCATCATAATAGAGTTCCAAAGAGAAGAAGCATAAGAACATTCAATAAAAAGATGATTTCGGGATTCATTTATCTCATTACACAGAACACATATTATGTCAGAAGTAATGCCCATCCTAAAGAGTCTGTCACGAGTTGGAAGACGATCCAGAATAGCCATCCAAGTGATCATGCTGAATTTAGGAATATGATGAGGAAACCAAATCACTTTGTGCTAGTAAACCTTTTCTCTTGGAACTCTGATATCTTCCCAGATGTCTTTAGTACTCGAGATTCCAGCAGCAATCGCTGAGGTAGTATCATTCCTGAGTTTTAAAAGTTTTCTGATGGTCCAACTATAGGAAGTGGTAGCACTTATGTCACTTATAGCATTATTTTTAAAAACATAGCAGTAAATCCAAGCTACCCATAAAGATCCCTGTCCAGCCAGAATTTTTCTGATAAGTTGAATCATACAGGCTTTATTCCAAGAGCGAATGTCCTTCAAGCCGAGTCCTCCTTCAGATTTGGGGCAACAAATTCGATCTCAGCTAATCCTAGCACCTTTGGCAGCAGTATCATTACCTTTCCAAAGGAATCTAGAGCAAAGCTGTTCAAGTCTATTGATAACCTTCTGAGGAAAGATAAATTGTCTATTCCAGAAGTTAATAACACTATGTAAAACAGTTTTAATAAGCTCTAGACGCCCAACATAACTTAAATTTTTTCCAGACCATTGATGAAGTCTTTGTTTAATATTATCAAAGAGAGGATGACAATCTTTTTCAGTTATTTTCCTAGTGACCAGAGGAACACCAAGATACCTTACCGGAAGAAAGCCTTGTTTGAAACCAGTGGCGGATTTAATGGAATCAAGAATTCTGCTCGAAATACCAGCAGCAAAAAATTCAGTTTTGCTAACATTTAAGTTCAGACCAGATAGAACATAGAAATGATTGAGGATACTGATAACCCCCATAATAGAATCAAGGTTTCCTTTACAAAAGATTAAGAGGTCGTCAGCGAAAGCTAAATGGGTGATACCCAATTTTTTGCACTTAGGGTGATATCCATAAATACCTATGGCAGCAGCAAGGTTGAGAAAATTAGAAAGAATATTCATAGCAATCACAAAAAGTGTTGGTGATAGGGGATCAACTTGTCTAATACCTCTCTGTCCTTTAAAGTACCCTATGAGGCTACCATTGAAGGCTATGGAGTATCTAGCTTCTTTGAAACATGTTTCAATCCAACCTATGAAAATATAAGGTAACCCTATGGCTTTAAGAATAGAGGAAATGAAATCCCAATTGAGGGAGTCAAAGGCTTTTTGTAAGTCAATTTTGATAGCACATCGAGGAGAAATATTTTTCCTTCCATAACCTTTTACCAATTCTTGGGCAAGAAGAGTGTTATCAATAATGGATCTACCTCTCACAAAAGCAGTTTGGTTGAGTGAAACAAGGTCAGGCAGCAGCTGGATTCCTTAGTTTTAGGCTTTTATTTGACTTAAAAGCCTTCCTTGGAAGATAACAGACACTGTATCGTCTCCAGAGGTGACTTTTACGGAGGATACTTGATCCACATAATGCCGATGCCTTGAGGGCCAAAGTTCTTATAACTGAGGTATAGACTGAAAGTATTTTTCGCTACTTCTGTGGTAATATTGTCTTTTTATGTTGCGACAAATAGTGTAATCTATGATCTAACTTAAGGTTAAGGACAAAGCACAATTGGATGATATGATGAGACAAGTACAATGCTTCATGAAATCCATGATTAAGTCGTTATAGGATCCGTCGTTCATGCGTGTCACTTGCCAATAAGACATGTCTTCTCTTTCCCTTCTTGCAAGTTATAGCAGGCGTGAGCTTAGCTGTAAACTCAAACAGAAGACCTGAACTATTCTATACCTGCAGTTTGGGAATTATTTTCTTGCTTTGTCTAATATATAACTGCACAGAAATGATTCCATTAGTACAAGTGAGTTTCCATGACTATGAATCTTAACCTTTATAATAGCGGAGCATAAGTTTTCAAGTATATGCACTGATTTTCGGATTTCGATTTTGCTTCATATAGAGCTTTTCCACCCCCTCTTTGGACCATCATTTGCAACTTTCTGTAATTTGTAATATTCATGTTGCTGATGTGAAAATATATTTTGCAGGCAACGTTCCTTGATGAAGGTTATAGCATTGATCATGCAAGACAACATGGTCATACTCATTTTTCCGAGGTATGTTTGATCTTTTATCGTCCCATTGTATTGTTACAGCATTGTTAATGACTTTTAACGTTATCCGATACAAAATTTTAGATCATTGAACATGCTCAGTGGATCAGGAATAAGGTTGTCTTGTTAACTCATTCTCTTCCCGCTACAGCATAGAGATAAACATTTAATCGAATTACTCGTCTTTGTTAACATGCACGAGGAACACAACAACTGTAAGTCATATGATATTCCATTCTTTACGTTTTGCAGGAAATTCGTCAAGCTGTTTCAAAGTTGCAGCCTAAAGTGTCAGCAAAGGTGATTCTTCCAACAGAGGGTTTCAAATCAGGGTGCACATGGTCGTCTTGTCAGGTGATTCCTTTTTGTAATATATCATTTTACAGAAATATCTATTCACGTTGTCTATTAGTCTTGAATTTTTGTGGGTTTGTTTACGTATTAATTAATGTGGGATATAATATGAAGTTCAATCACTTGGTTCATAATCAATATAATCATTATGAAATATGATCTCAAGTGAGCTCATTTATGCAACTACGGACAGATCACAAGTCAATTTCTGCTTACTGAATGTTAAGATTAAACGTCAGCCATTATCAGCATTCGGTTGTAAAATGAAGCTTTTACAGCTAAATTCAAGGACGGATATAAAAACTCATATCAAGGGCGTAAACTTCGAAAGTTAGATTTATAACTTTAAAGGTGCGAAATTAGGTCATTAATAGAAAATACAAATAAGACATGCCAATTAACCTAAAAATTCCCTTAGTTGAACAATATTACAAAATTTCCAGCTAAATTCAAGGACGGATAAAAAATTTATATCAAAGGCGTAAACTTCAAAAGTTAGATTTAAAATTTTAAAGGTGCAAAATTATACCATTAATAGAAAATACAAATAAGACATGCCTATATTCAAGGACGGATATAAAAATTTATATCAAGGGCGTAAACTTCGAAAGTTAGATTTAAAATTTTAAAGGCACAGAATTAGATCATTAATAGAAAATACAAATAAGACATGCCAATTAACCTAAAAACTCCCTTAGTTGAACAATATTCCAAATTGTCACCGAAACTGAGGTTCACTCCATCTCATCGAATGGTTGATTATGCTAAATTGTATGTTTAAGCATGTTGATGAAGCCATGCAACAAGAAGTAATATTCCGCTAAATAGTAGAATCAAAGTTGGAACAATAGCTAGAAAAATTTGCCCTCATAGTTTAGGAGAGAGAATATCCACATAATATTAAAATATGCTGACAAAAAGAAGGTAAAATACCCATTGTATTAAAAAAATAATAAGGTAAAAATTGCCCTTGTACTTGTACAAGATTTGACCAGGGGGAAAAAATCCTTGCTTCTTTACCTTATGGATCCTCAAGTGAGCTCATTTATGCAACTAAAAACAGAAGATCACGAGTTAATTTCTCCCTATAGAATTTTTAGACAAACTTCAGCCATTACCAACACATGGTTGTGAAATGAAGCTGGAAAAGCTTCTCTCCAAGTTTCTTGCCAAATCTTCTCTGCCAGATTTCTGGAGATGCTTCAAGATTTTCATATACACTGAAAAGTTTGGTTTTAGACCCTTTTCTATCATCTCCGAAAGCACAATTTGTGCGGTAACCGGTTCTCCCCTTTTTCTGTGAAGGTTCGCCAACAAACTGTAAATCACATTGCTTGCAGCCTTATACTTATCACTACTAACAGCCACATACTGGCGTGCCTCCTCATACTGCTTTAATTTGAAGTAACCCTTGATAAAGGCAGCATGTGTGGTCGGCCGAGGATCAATGCCCTTTGATTCCATTTTATCAAGCCACTCCAATGCCGTATCTAATTTCCCATGGCTGCAGAAATGACAAATGAATATCTCAAACGTTAATGCATCAGGAGGACAGCCCCTTTCCAGCATGAGTTCAAGCAGCTGATCAGCCTCGTCAGTTCTATCATTCTTGCATAAACAACTGAGTATATAGTTAAAAGTCTGGGAATTCAGTTGACAGCCCATTTTGATCATCTCATCAAGTATGCGCCTTGCTTCTTTGAAATGACCTATACGACACCGTCCTCGAATCAAAATACTGTAATTCGACAACCTTTTCTTTGTATTTGCAATCGCATATTCAGCCATTTCAAAGGATCCTAGAAAACACAACATCTCTATCAAAGCATGAATACCAGAAACACCACATGACCCACCTATTTTATTCAACACTTCGATCACTTTGCATATAGAGTTCCTCGTTGCAGCTTTACTAGAAATCTCAACACGTAAATAACCAAAAGCCTTTTGATTCAGACATATATCATGTAACCTAAAGTCGTTCAAAAGATTAAATATCGAGTCAAAATCACCTAATCTCCCACAATTATCTATAACCAAACTACAAATATCAGAGCTATGATGAAACGCAAGATGGGAGTGTCGAATCCAATCAAAGAAACGCAATGCAGAAACTTTCTGGTAAGTTAAAGTTTGAAAAATGGCGTTCAACGATACCTCGGAAAGACGTACATTCATGGCATCCAACTTGGATTCTAAATCGTTATCGCCCCTTCTAATCAAATTGGTAATCTCTGAAATTTGCTTTCGACTCACAGTAACCCTTGAAGAAGAAGCAGAGAAACTACGAAACCACCAAAAATCGGATCTATTGAAAAATCGAGAAGATGGGTATGGCGTAGAAGAAAACGAGGAAGACCCAGATGAGGAGATGGCGAAAGTAGTCGAAGAGTAGGAAGAAGAAACGGTGTGACGTTGATGGGAAGTGAGAATTGGGGTTTGGAGAGTGGAAGAGGGCGATTTGGAGGAAAGAGCAAAGAGCCTGAGATTGAGATGTTTTCGGGAGAGACGATACATCTCCATTTCGTTAGAGCAATAATTTCAGGGTTTTATGGGAGGTACCGGAGAAGAAACCCTAAAAGCCTAAAGCAAAGCAACCATTGTGTTGCCTGCATCGATGTCTTTTTTTTTTCAAGAACTGTGAGCTAGGGTTTTATCTGATAATTTTACAACATAATTTGATGATTTTACGGTTGTACAAGAATACCACTTTATAAAGGTAAATTACATATTTAATATTTAAACTATCAATTTTCATTTGATTTAGTATTTAAACTTTTATTTTTCAAAATCATACATAACATTTAGTTTTTATTTTATTTAGTACTCCGTCGATAAAAATTTGACGGACGAGCTAGCTGACAGTCGCTCCTCAATCGTTGTTCGTCAAATCCTTCGATCGATGAAGCCCAAAATTTTTAGTCTATATCTTTTTGACCCTTTGAACGCAATTCCGACATTCATTTCACCAAAGAATGCCTCAATCTCCTTAAATCGACAATAGACTTTATGATTTCTTCATCATCTGATCTCTATGGTCCATCGTCCGATAGGCTTGAAACTAGACAATGTTGGCCAACTCGTCATTCTCTCGTGGTCTACCGTTCGGATTGGTCGTCTATCCAACGGAGCTATGCCACGTTATCCCGTCCATTAAGTTTTTAACGGTGGGATACTAAAATGAACAAAAATTAAATATTAAGTATAGTTTTGGAAAAAATGAAAGTTTAAGTATTAAAACGGATCAAAACTAATAATTTATGTTAAACACTTAGTTTATCCTATTTTTTAAAATGGTTTTGATAAATGTATAATTCTTTTTATGTTTAAATAAAATATTAATTTTTTTAAAATATTGTCAATAAAATATTGTACTATATTAAAAGAGAGGAAAGACCAATCAAATATGACACATCTTAATTTAGGGTAAATTCCACCGTTTTCATTGAACTATATTCTCTTTCTTATTTTTCTTATCTAACTTCTAATTTACTTAATTTGCTCACTAAACTTTTCAAAGTAAATCATTTTGCTCACTCGGTCGTTAACTATTTAATAGCGTTATGACATGACAAAAAAAATGACATAAGCATTAAACCGATGTCGTTTCAAATCCATTATAAAATCTTTTTTCTTCTTTATTTCTTTATTTTTTTCCCTTTTTCTTTTCCCTCATTTTCTCTAACTTTGCAACTGGTTGCCGTCACCGACCACCACACCATTTTCATTCTAGCTACCGTCCATCGTCGTTGATGGTGGTCGTTTGGTCCCAAATTTCATGGGTCGGTACATCTCAACCCCTGAGTCCGAATCTGATGGTTGTTTAACCGTAAAATGTCTCCAAACCATGATTTTGGACTGAAACGCTTCGATTTTCTTACTTTTAATTTCAAATTTGTGGACTTCGAAGCAAATTCTGACAAAATATAGGTTAGATTCGGACTCATGGTGTCGAGGTGAAGCAACCCACAAAATTTGAGACCGAACGATCACCATCTACTGCGATCGACGATGATCGATAGTGACATCCAACCACCTTTAATTTTTTACTTTCTCAATTATTTTATATTAAAAAATAATAAAAAATGACATATCATTAAAACATTGAAGAGATAACAGGGAAGTGAGTAAAATAATTCAATATGTAAAGTTCAATGAGTAAATTAGAAAAATCAGAAGTTGGGTGAGGGAAATAGGAGAGATAGTATAGTTCAATGAGGAACGGTGTAATTTACCTCTTAATTTATATAAAATTTTATAAACATGAATTCAACTCTTTCGGTGTTTAAAGTGAGTGTTGTTCCACTTAGAATTTTTAGATTTGAGTAGTTATGTGTGCACTATGCAAGATGTATATTGCCAATGACTAAAAAAATAATATGAATATATATTATTTTGTAATCACCTCAAACTATTTTTTTTTTAAATCTTATTAACATAATTAAGAAAACTCATAAATATACAAATTAAAAGGGTAAATAACATTTGTGGTTTCTTTATTTTCGGTGTATTTGATTTTGGTCATCGATTTTGAAAAGGTTTCGTTTCAATAACTTATGTTATCAGTTCATTATATTTTGATCATTGAACTGTTAATCTTTATTATTCCGATGACATGATCTATTAGTTAAAAAAGGTTAAATTTTAATTGAATTATCTAATGTTAGATATAATAATTATTATATCTTCTTGATTTATCCAAACTATTTTAGCCATTTCGTTCCTTTATCGTTACTGATTGGAGAGGATCAAGGACGATTGCTCTAATGTTCTTCTTCCAATTCTTCTTGGTCCGTCGGAGTGTCGATGACGACAACAACAACAACAGCTCAAGAAGCACCTCCAGGAACAATGTCAAATTAAGAGAGTTTTGTAGGGACACTTGATCGGAAAAGCCATTTTCTACACACTATTAATTGTTATCTCACATTGATTAAATCAATGTTCACATCATTCCCAGAACATATATATAAGAATTATTAAACTCATTTTTATTTTAAATCTTACTGTTTAAATTTTATATGGAACGTACACAATTATAAATCATATATCAAATTTATTTTAGCAATTTATATGCTCTCATACCTTAAATTAATATAAGTTTAAATCCTCACTTCCAATTTTACTTGTTTTCCTACCATTAAATATAATATGAGATGTTGTCTTTCGTCGGATTCTGTTTCTTTGTTTATGGATATGTTATCAAACTCTTTACATTGGCAAGGTTCTTGGCTGATTTTGGTTTGCTTTGGTGAGACTCAAGAATTGCTTGAGTTTGGTGAGTGGTTGTCAGGGGCTGTGGAGGTTGAAGGGTCTGGTCTTGAGGTTTTATCGGGGTTTAAGAGGAGCTGGAGTAGTTTGATAAATAGTTTTTTAGTGTTAGGATTTTAGTAGGCTGTTTTGCTGTGGTACAAGGTTTATTGGTTGATATGTTGCTTTCTGGTGGATTTCTTCATCTCACCGTTTTCTGTTTGGTGGGTGTGGTTGTATAGGGGCCTGTGTTATGATGGGTGGTGTCGTTCTTGTGCTTTGGTGATCTGCCATTTTGAATGTGTGTTGTTTCTGCAGCTGTTTTGTGGTTGCTTTTGTAAGTTAAATGTTCCCTGGTGTTGCTTATTAATGTTGTCCTCTGTCCGCTCCGGTGTTTGCGTAATGCATTGTGTGATCATTGTTACCACTCCGGCCGGTGGTGGAGCGACAGATACATCATAAGTCGGTGATGCATTGTTTTCTAGGTTGCAGGAGAGTTCTGCCGCATGGTGTTCCTGTTGTGGTGAGTGAGGGAAATAAGAGAGATAGTATAGTTCAATGAGGAACGGTGTAATTACCTCTTAATTTATATAAAATTTTATAAACATTAATTCAATTCTTTCGATGTTTAAAGTGAGTGTTGTTCCACTTAAAATTTTTAGATTTGAGTAGTTATGTGTGCACTATGCAAGATGTATATTGTCAATGACTAAAAAAATAATATGAATATATATTATTTTGTAATCACCTCAAACTATTTTTTTTAAAAAAATCTTATTAACATAATTAAGAAAACTCATAAATATACAAATTAAAAGGGTAAATAACATTTGTGGTTTCTTTATTTTCGGTGTATTTGATTTTGGTCATCGATTTTGAAAAGGTTTCGTTTCAATAACTTATGTTATCAGTTCATTATATTTTGATCATTGAACTGTTAATCTTTATTATTCCGATGACATGATCTATTAGTTAAAAAAGGTTAAATTTTAATTGAATTATCTAATGTTAGATATAATAATTATTATATCTTCTTGATTTATCCAAACTATTTTAGCCATTTCGTTCCTTTATCGTTACTGATTGGAGAGGATCAAGGACGATTGCTCTAATGTTCTTCTTCCAATTCTTCTTGGTCCGTCGGAGTGTCGATGACGACAACAACAACAACAGCTCAAGAAGCACCTCCAGGAACAATGTCAAATTAAGAGAGTTTTGTAGGGACACTTGATCGGAAAAGCCATTTTCTACACACTATTAATTGTTATCTCACATTGATTAAATCAATGTTCACATCATTCCCAGAACATATATATAAGAATTATTAAACTCATTTTTATTTTAAATCTTACTGTTTAAATTTTATATGGAACGTACACAATTATAAATCATATATCAAATTTATTTTAGCAATTTATATGCTCTCATACCTTAAATTAATATAAGTTTAAATCCTCACTTCCAATTTTACTTGTTTTCCTACCATTAAATATAATATGAGATGTTGTCTTTCGTCAGATTCTGTTTCTTTGTTTATGGATATGTTATCAAACTCTTTACATTGGCAAGGTTCTTGGCTGATTTTGGTTTGCTTTGGTGAGACTCAAGAATTGCTTGAGTTTGGTGAGTGGTTGTCAGGGGCTGTGGAGGTTGAAGGGTCTGGTCTTGAGGTTTTATCGGGGTTTAAGAGGAGCTGGAGTAGTTTGATAAATAGTTTTTTAGTGTTAGGATTTTAGTAGGCTGTTTTGCTGTGGTACAAGGTTTATTGGTTGATATGTTGCTTTCTGGTGGATTTCTTCATCTCACCGTTTTCTGTTTGGTGGGTGTGGTTGTATAGGGGCCTGTGTTATGATGGGTGGTGTCGTTCTTGTGCTTTGGTGATCTGCCATTTTGAATGTGTGTTGTTTCTGCAGCTGTTTTGTGGTTGCTTTTGTAAGTTAAATGTTCCCTGGTGTTGCTTATTAATGTTGTCCTCTGTCCGCTCCGGTGTTTGCGTAATGCATTGTGTGATCATTGTTACCACTCCGGCCGGTGGTGGAGCGACAGATACATCATAAGTCGGTGATGCATTGTTTTCTAGGTTGCAGGAGAGTTCTGCCGCATGGTGTTCCTGTTGTGGTGAGTGAGGGAAATAAGAGAGATAGTATAGTTCAATGAGGAACGGTGTAATTACCTCTTAATTTATATAAAATTTTATAAACATTAATTCAATTCTTTCGATGTTTAAAGTGAGTGTTGTTCCACTTAGAATTTTTAGATTTGAGTAGTTATGT